CCCCCCCCCCTCGGCAGGCTCGGGCAAGATGTTCATGTGGGAGACACTGATCAGCGTCCGAGCTGTAGGATCGGCCATTGGTATTTGGGACGGTGGTGCTCTTGCAGTCAACATGGCGGTCATCGCGTCTGAAGAAGGACAAGCGCCGAGCGCTGGAGATGGTTCTTACCTCGCAGCTCCGCTGAAAAACCATGGCTCCTCCGTCAAACCCATCACCGTCTCTTTTCAAGACGTGGAGCTGGCGGACAACGCCATCCTTCCTGCATTGTGGCAACAGACACCTGCTTTCAAAGCTCAGCGAGGTCAAGCTCCCAATCCTCGTTTCGTCCATCGAGGATTTTTCGGTGCTGGCTTCAAAGGGGACCAGAAGGTCGATACAGTCCTGGACGCGACGCGCCTATTGAGCAAGGAGGAATTGAGAAGCTTTCAAAGCAGACGTCAATTCTTTGGTCAGGATTGGTGCAAGACTGATCCCATTGCGGATCTGGGTCAAGCATTCTGGGCTGATCTAGACGATCCCAAGAATTGGCCCACGGCGCGCAACAGCCGCAAGGGCGGGCGCATGGGCGGTAGCAAAGGTATGGGCGTAGAAAAGACGGCTGCCCACAAAACCTCCGGTCTCGATTCGAAACTCGACTCTGCGGAGAGTGGCAAAGGTTCTGGCGACGGGGAGGATACTGCTCAGGTCGAGGGCTCGAAAGTGGCAAAGCATACGGAGCCCAAATCCAATTCTAATGCTGCTTCCGATCCCGACCTCGACGACGACGACGGCTGAGTCTTTTCTTGTCAGCTTGTCGAGTCACAAAGAGGTGCACGCCTCGTGACTCGATATCCAGAAAATTTAGTCTATTTTGCGATCGATACGTGTACAACAAAGGAGTAAAAAAAAAAGAAAAAAAAAAGACAAAATGGGCTTGCGTCAGGCTAGCATGGTCCGCTCGATCTCTTCGCGATCACCAGCATTGCATCGCACATCGGCGTATCACTTGGCCTTGCTCGCCGAACCCTTGCTCAAACTGCTCAGAATAGCCTTTAGCAGCTCTGCCAACCCACTAGCTCCCGCCGCCTGTATCCACTCCAAAAAGCCGATTCTCAAATCCAAAAAGTTGCTCTGGCCCGGTAGCAGGCCATTCTTTTTCGCTTCTCTAAACGTCCCGTTCGTCACTGGTCCGTGGATGGTGCGTTTGATGGCAGCAGTCGAGAGAGAGCTGGTCTTGCGCGAGCAGAGCTTGTTGAGGTACGTTTCCATCAATCCCACAAAGGCCGGTCCGTGCGTCAAGCTGCCGCCCAACATCGCGTCGAAACCGCAGTCGTCGAGGAGCAACTTGACATGTCCAACCGTGGCCGGTTTGAGCGCCTTTTTAGCCAACAAGCTGATCTCCGCAGCGCAGTCCGCTTCGTACTCTTCCTCCTCCTCTTCCGCCTCTTGATCTTCAGCCGTGCCGGGCGCGGATGCGGCAGCAGATTCGTCCACCTTGCCATCCTCCAGCAATGCAAAAGCCTTGTTCCTCCACACAAAGTCGGCCATCAGCACCACAAAGGTGTTTAATCGATTTCCCTTTTTTTCCGAAAAGTACAATTGCGCCACGCTCGACGTCTTTTGAGCGGCCGAAAGGGCGTCCGACTGCAAGAGATCTTGACGGGCCGCAAAAGCTTGACGGATGGATTGCAGAACGGAGCAGAGCCGGGACAAGGTGGACAAAGCTCCGACGCGCGAAAGACTTAGCTGCAGCAAAGTCGAGAGCGAGGGAATGACGGAGCTGTGCACTCCTGCGATGCTGGGCGAAGACAGGGTGTCGTGCAGGTGCAGCACGGCGTGTTGCACAGCGAGACTTTGCGGGTACTGCATGCAAGCGAGCGAGCTTTTCATGGTTAGCCTGCGCAGTCGAGACCATCAACCATTTGACTCACCATCAACAGACACTTTTCGCCATACAGAGCTGCATAAGCAGCTGTGCGACGCAGCGTCTCCTCATGATCCACCTTTGCATCAAGCAGCGTCAATCCGTAATAGTGTTGTCTTCGATTCGCAAAGTCCCTCTTTGCGCGTTCCCAGTCGTGCCTAGACCATCGTTGGAGCAGATCAGCCAACGCTTGGATGATCCTAGCATTGTCCTGCGCCGAAGAGATGCTCTTGGTGGATGGACCACAAAGCGGTTCCAATATGCCGCTGCGGAAGCGAGCCCATGGACCAGGGGGCAACAGATGAACGAGATCCAAAAGGATCAGGCTCGGCTCGCGACTTTGCCGCTCTTGCATAGTTCTAGAACCTATCGTGGCAGTGAGCCAAGTAACGGCGAATGCTGGCAGGCCCACCAGAGACCAAAACGCATGGACCAGATCGACTAGTCCTGCCGCTCTTCGGGCTGCTGGAGACTGCGCGACGTGCCCATCAAGACCCGCACCACCCGCAATACCCTTGGCGCCCCTGGCGATTGCGGCTTCAACAGCGCCTGCGATCTCATCCTGCAGCCTAGCGCACGCCCATTTGGCCATGCGTTCCAGACCGGGCCTATCGTCCGACGCAAGCAGTGCCAGCTTGGTATGGTGGTGTGCCAAGCCAGCAGCCAGATGGGCAGGCAGAATGACCTGATGAAGAACCTGCCCAAGCGCTTGAAGCGATCTGGCCTCGGTAATGAGCGGCGACTTGCCCTGAGGGTGGCAGATGGGCGGTGGAACGAGCGCGGCACCTTTCAGCAGCGATTGTCGATTGTTGGATCCGTTGGAAGCGTTCATGGCACCCTTTAACAACTTTGCCCTCTTGCGACCGCGCGCAAGCGCTTCTTCTCGAGACTCTTCTTGATGCGATTCCTCCAATTCACCACTCGCATCGAAAGTGTGCGTGCGCGAAACCCTCTCTAGCCAGCTCGTGTCCGGATGTTTGAGCGGGGCCAATAAGCCGCCAGACAGCGCGACGGAGGGAGGTAGCGATGCAAAGAGCAACGATGGTACAAAGGTGCCGTACGTGGCCAGTAGGGATGCCAGGGCTACATCGGTGGGATGCAGAGCACGCAAGGATTGGCTGGCGGGAAAGCGCGCAGGTCGGGTCCGGTCAGAAAGGCGTGATCGATGGGGAAAGGGGTAGTGTCGACAGCACTCACAGCTTGGTGATGCGGTACGGCTTGACGTGCGCTCTGCGCGTCAGAGCAGAGAGCAGAGCGCACAAGTGTGATCTATAGAGGGGAAAGAGGGTTCTAAGCAGCGTCAAGCTCGGTCGCAAGTCGGCTCGATACGCACCTTGGAATGGAGTAGTCTAGGAAATGAAAGAGGACGCCATAAGCGCGCGCCAACTGGGTTCGAGCTTGAGCAGTGAGAAAGGAAGCTGGGAGCGTTGTGGTCGACGAGGCTGCACCCGACAAGGAGGGATCTGTTGCTGCCCAGAGATTGGGCAACGTCGGAGGAGGTTCGAGCATGCAAAGAAGAAGGCGCAAGAGCGCTGCCTGACGGTGTTGTTCCATCGAGGAGGCTGGGCAGTCAGCGCGAGAGCTTGGGGAGCGCAGAACCCATCACGCTCCGGCCGGCTACATGATTTTGCTCACCTGCACCCTGACATCCACCTCTACCCTCCTCCTCTCCCCCCTGACGCCATCACCAAGCGCTGGCGCTTTACCCAAACAAGCCAACACATTTCTGACCGACGCCCCTCTCACTCTTGCCCCTCGTCTCGGGACGGCGCATCTGACAAGTTTGAGCGCTGTAGCAGCAGCCGTGTGTGGCGATAAGCACAGAGAGATGAGCACTTCCAATTCGGACGTCGAGAGACCTTGCGAGGAGCTTTGACTTTCGAGCAGCGTGAGTTGCGCAGCGATAGAGTCGCGCGTCGAAGGCGTTGTGGCTTCCGAAAGCAAAGAAGCCAAATTGGATAGCGGCGACTCGCGCTTGAGCACACCGGCAACCGGCGCGGAAACCGACGCTGGAGAAGTCATCTTGGAAGGCAAAGAAGGCAGGGCGCTTCGTTGGTCAGAAGCGAAGGATGAGATGGTGGAAAGAGGAAAGAAAGACACGAGATGCAAACGCTCTACTTGTGGCCGGGCGAGCGTGTTGATGGTGCCGGCCGTGTTGATCCTTTGCATGGCTGGTGCATGCGCGCGCGCGCGTTTCATTCGTACTGTTGGAGCGCGCGCGCAATATAAAGTCACGTGATCTGCAGTGAGCGCATCGCTTCCAGTCCTGAATGGTGAATCAAGAACGCACGCAGCGGCGTTTACAAGCGCATGAAACAAAACGGCGTGACCGTGCAATGTTCGAGGATTTTTTTTCTGATTGATTGCGGTCAAGAAGCCACAGGCGAGGAGTGAGTTGGTTTGTAGGGGAACAAGGGGTGCGGTGAGATTTGCGAGCGATCAAACGCTCAACCCACGGCGGCGTGCTTTCCCGTTCACGACGGGAGACGAGAGACGTGTGGGCAAAAAAGACGGACGGTGGAGGCGCATCAATTGTCCCTTTGTGTTCTCGAGTCAAGGTGATTTGGAGAGCTCTTTGTGAGCGACGAGCAAAGGGCTTGTGTTGAAGAGTTCAGGAACGGGGTCACGGCTGATGAGACGCCTGCTCGAGTGCACGGCGTCGATCGTTTTTTTTTTTCCCCATGCTTTGGTGCATATGAGTCAAATCTATGCAAAGTGACTAGAGGAGGGACTTGGCATCGACGAGAAGTGATGTCCAGAGCCTTGCCGGCTTGGTTGTCCAGCACGGGAAGGGAGCTAGAATGCAGCAGCGGTGCTCTTTTGCGGGATGATGGATGGGCCGGTCAGAGATGAGGCCAAGTAGGTAGGTGGGCAGGTGGACAGGTGGGCAGTGCAAGGGCTGATATTCTTCCCCCTGTGAAAGTCTTTGTTCTTCTTCCATGTGACTGTCATCGATAACGTCGAGGACATTTCCCACGCAAGCCTCCTAGGCAAAATGGGCAGGAGAAGGCGCGCCTCTTCCTCTTCCTTGTCCCCTACCTCTACCTCTTCCCCTTCCTCTTCCACCCCTCCCACCTCTTCCACCCCTCGGCGCCGAGCCCACTTCTCCAAAAGTGCTCAGATTCAGACGCTCCTCTGCCAATCTGTTGGCTCTCGCTGCTCCCCTACCTCTACCGCCTCCGACTCCTTCATAAGCCCCGCCTCTGCTCTCTCCCGTGCCGGACGAAGCGTTTCTCGCACTTGCACCCGCAGCACCCGGAACCCTTTCGTAGCGCTCCTTGACCTCGCTAGAGATGGAATCGAAGAAGCTGGTAGATTTATCGTAGAAGCTCTTTGGCTCTGCAGGAGGTGGAGGGATGGAGTCTAGTGATCCTCCTCCTCCTCCCCTTTCATTCCCATCTCCGACGCCATCGGTCAAAAGTCCCACACTGTCCACCTTGGGGGACAATGCGGCAGCTGCTCGATCCTTTTCAAACTTGGCATTGGCTGCTGCAAAGTCGAAATCCGCATCCGGTACAGCGATGGGCGAACGGTTGTCGAATACCGATCTACCACTTGCTCCTGCACCTCCGCGAGGTGCATTTCTCTGATTGCGCGGAGAAGTGGCTCGCCCTGCATTCTTCCCATTCGTACCTTCGACGGATTGTTGTTGACGAGCAGCGGCTGCTGCGGCGTGGGGAATGGCTGGCAGATTGGAAGGCGTCGTCCCGCTCGCTAGACCCGTTCGACCCGTCGTGCTTGGCTTGGAAGCAGCAGATGCCGGGGCATCCGATCCGTCTCGAGCTGCAGAACTCACTGAGAGGTTGGCCATGGACGAAGCGAGTCCATTGGTTGTCGTAGCGATTGCTGGGGCAGCAGATGTGACGGCGGGCATGCGTACGGGAGCAGCGGCTGGAGCAATTGTCGCTTTGGGTGCGGATGTCGGCGCAGTGGTAGCATTAGCAGCGGGTGCCTGCTGTGGCGCTGGCGGTCGTTGAGATGACTGCGGATAGAACGAAGCGTGAGTCAGCCTCGCGTAACCCATCGAGCATGGTCTGCTACCACACCCAAGGGCTCATCCTCATCCCCCCACCACCCGGAAGCATGAGCCATCTCAAACTGTGCATACTGCGCCTCAACCCCACTCACACTTTGAATTGCAGGATCGACAAAAGCGGGAGGAGCATCAGGTTGAGCCTTGATGGGGTTAGGATCGTCGATTCTCAAGTCCTTGACATCTGCCGCTCTAAAGACGATGAACTCGTACGTTCCATCCGAAGCTGGCATCTCATCCTGAGGCCTACCTTGAGCGGCCAATCGACCCTCTGTTCCGCAGGCTTTCACTTGTTCCAACGAGATGGTCGCTTCTTCGGAAGATAGAGAGGCTAATCTGCCTTGGTAACGCACCTCCGATTTGGAGGTGAGGCTGATCAGCGCTCCGATAAAGTTGGCCGCCATGATGGGCGAGGGCGGCGGCGGGGGCAGGTGGGGAAGGGCCTACGAGGAGCGAGCAGAGAGGGGCGCCCCTTTTTTTTGCTCTGATGGAAACGGCTGCTGGAAGGATGATGGCGTGCAAGCGACACCGAGATGGTGGTAAAGAAGCGATGGTCGATGCGATTGCGCTGTGAGCTTGATTGGTGCATGCTGGCTGGCTGGCTGGTGCGTGCGTGCGTGCGTGCGTGCGTGCGCGCGAGCCATGCACGCACGCGAAGATTCGTGATTGCGATTGCCAGCGCAGCGCAAGCTTTGACTGATGACTGCACGCCGGCCGCTGTTTGTGCGAGCGAGTGCTTCCCAATCCACGCGTGCGTTGCGTTCCCAGCAACCCCCTACTCTCACTGAAACCCCGCTTGCACACAACTTGCTTTCCGAACCACAAAGCAATCCTCCAATTCGATTGCCAGCCTCGGTAGAAATCTATTGGTTGTACGTACAGTGGCGGATGCAGACAGACACTCGCTCAAAAGTCAGAAAACTGATTCGAAGTCGGTCAAGTTGGTGTGTTGCTAGATGAAAGTCACGTGCAGTCGGTCCCAGTGGGTGTGTCCAAAATGGCAGGAATGAATTAGGCGCATCATGATTCCTTGATCTTGGGAATTCGATCACGAGTCCGCAACTGCTCCATGACATTGTCTTGTCGCGCGCTTGCACACATCCACGCTGACAGACTTTTGTGGCATCAACATGTGATACGAATGACATACCTTCCGTCTTGGGCTTGCACGGCGCAAGATTGACCCGGCGAAATGCTGTTTCAAAAGCACGTGAGCGCAAAGGAAAGCGATTGCGTGGCCGGAACCGCACAAGGATTGAAGAGATGTTGAAGAAGCAAGGCAGGGGCTGTGATCACGAATCATCGTGAGTTACGCGCCGAATGAGGGGAATTCGGCCGGGTAAACGTGGTGATGATTCACAATTCATGTTCACGTGGAAATCCTCGAAAGGCGCGACGCGTGATGCGTGCTTATTATTGCTGATGCTTCAGAGGCAGAGGCATAATCGTAATAGAAGTTTGAGTGCGGTTTGAGAAGGTTCCGCCGCAGGAGCGAAGCGGGGCGGGAAGCATGTGTGGATCGAGCTACATGTCAATATCAATGGTGAATCGCGATGGTCGATCTTTTGGATTGAAGGTCTCACTCCTCGCTCCTCGCTCCTGCCTCGAATCACGCACACAACACATTCACGTCGCTGGGCATTGCATGCTCCGGTGCATCTCTTCAACTCACAATTCGCCCCACCTTGCCCGCGTCTAGCCCACTCCGAGGCAGGCGAGCATCGTCGACTTGCTAAGTTTGACTTCGACTAGCGATCACAGACATCTTGCTTGCCGCATGCCATGCCCCCTGCCCGGCGTAGGCAGGATCATAACCTCCAGTCACGCTCCACCACGTCAGCATCTGCATCGTCCAGCTTCATCGTCCCTGATCCTGTCACTAGCACTAGCACCAGCACCAGCACCAGCACCATTGCAAGCCGTCCAGCTGCACACACTTCCCACTCACGCCTACCCAAAGATGAGAGAAAGACGGGGGCAAGAGGCAAAGGGAGAGCGATGAGTGCAAGGAGAAGCAAAAGAAGAGCTTCGAGCTCCTCTGATTTGAGCTTGAATGAGAGCAGCGCGCAGCAGCGTAGTGATGCTTTCGCATCGCCTTTCGAGGCGGATGAGAGCGATGGTGAGGAAGAGGAAATGGCATTGCGAATGTCGGCTAGCATTGCACGCAGACGCAATCCTTCCAGAAGCATCGTCTTCTCGTCAGATGAGGATGAGAGCGAGAGCGAGAGCGAGGGTGAAGGTCAAGGCGAAAGCCAGAGTCGCAGTCAAAGTCAGAGTCAGGGCCAGAGTGCAGGAGAGGAGGAGGAGGAGGAGGAGAGCGAGGTGGATTGGACGAGCAGCAGCAGCGATGCAAGACTTGACAATCAGGTTCGAAGGAGAAGAGCAGCCGTCATCATCCCTACTCGTGTACGACAAGCAGTGTCGAGTGCGGGTGCGGGTGCAGCTCGATCTTCCAACGCGGCGGACGATGCTCGAGCGAAGACACACAAGCTTCTAAATGGCACCACCACCTCCCATCAACAACGTGCGCAAGCCGCGTCCTCAGCTGCTCGTCCAGTCTGGCCAATCTTTCGTAATTTTGCACCTTCCAACTCCACTTCCACATCCGCTCCTAATGCGAACTCGAACGCAAAGACTGAACCATCTTTACAAGGTGCAGCGCCACCTCGCAAAAGGCAAAAGAGGGAATTGCAAGGATTGGCATTTTCTAGTCCGGGACCCAGGATGATGGCGAGCAGCCTCGATGGCCGCAGTGCTGCTACACTCGATCAAGAAGGGGAGAGCGAGAGCGGTGCGGGACGTAGGAGCAGCGCTAGAAAGCTTGCGCATGCTGCTCCCAAGCATGATTCCGTCAAAGCTGCCCAACAGCATCGGATGAACGCAGATCCACTCAAACCCTCGCATTCCAGCACTCTTTACGCCTCCAAATTCATCACCATGGCCAATGCGAATGGCCACTCCCAACGACAACAACAACAACAACAACAACAGCCATCCAAATGGTCCTCTGCTGCTGCATCGACGCGCGTCCGCCGCGATTCTGCGCATCAAAACGATCATGCGGCCACTTTGCCAGACAAAAAAGTCGCGGCGGTGGCGCAGGCGCGTGCACGGGGCGCGAATGCAGGTGCGAGTGCGAGTGCGAAACAGTCAGACAGCAAGAAAGAAAAGATGAGCAGCAAGCTGTCCGCGACCACAACCACAACCACAACCACAACCACACCCAGCACCTCCAAATCGCGACGCACATCCTCAACCTCAACTTCAACGCTCCACAACGGCAAGGCGAGACCTAGCAGAGAGAAGAGACCTTCGTCCAGGACTGGAGATCCTCAACTTTACTTGCTCGCTCCTACCACTCACACTCCATCGACCTCACCCCCAAAGACTAGAGACGCATCTGCCTCTGCTTCGCGCACCTCTTCTACCCACGACGACGGCGAGGGCGAGGTGCAAGCGTCGACTAAGCGGGCAAAGCGAAAGAAATGCGGGTCTGGCTCTGCTACGCGCACCAAGAGCAATCGTCGTGCTGGTGAGAAAGCTGCTCCTCGGAAAAGATTGCCACTCGGTCTGAATTTCGATTCGTCGTCGGAGGAAGAGCATAGCAGCGACTCGCAAGATTGCTCCGACGAAGATTTGACTTTGCCTTCGCCCGAATCGGCCTCTTCTTCATCCGCTTTCATCTCTCCATCTCCTTCGCCCTCCGCCTCTTCCTCTTCTTCATCTCCCTCATCTTCTTCATCTCCCTCATCTTCATCGGCCTTCTCCCACTCATCTCACTCGCAGCCGCGACAAGCGAAAGAGGTCCAATTGCTGACGACGACGACGACGACGACGACGACGACGCTAGAGAATTTGCGCGAGCTGCGTTTGCGACGCATCAAGCGCGAGCTGCAGAGCGTGTACGAGCAGCACGACGAGTTGCTGAGAGAGTGCTTTCATTTGGAGAAATTCGTCACGCTGGTCGGCTTTGATCCCAAAGTGAGTCTGTTGCGAGATGGCGGGGGGAGACTCGGCAGGAGCGTTGGAATGTTTCTCGGGCAGGCAGGCGGGATCTCGGGAGCAGCATTGCGTCGCTCTCTCGTGCTGATTTTGGAGAGCAAAATGGGGTCGTGCTCTTGCGCTGGACTTGGGGAGAAACACGACGTCCTGTTGCGCCGAAGTTCGAGAGAAAGTTTGGGACGCACCCAAGTCGAAAGAGAAGCGTGAGAGCTGCGATGGGATTACGAGGCGGGGCCTATCATGGGCGAGAGGTTAGGCAGGCGACAATTGCGAAGATCCTGTTCGACCCATGGCGGGGTGATGTAGGTCGCGGCGCTGCGTGATAGGCGCCCGTGTGCGCCTTCGTCGGGCACGCTGTGTGGAAGCGCAAGAGGTGGGCGCTATGGTCGGGGCCCGTCGCGCGCTCCAGGTGCAGAGGAGAGGTGTGGGCAGTGAATGAGCACTGGGAAAGCCAAGGCGATCGTGAATGGCTCGATATGACACTCGACTAGGGGTCCTATTTGCACTCATGTGACACGCCCGCTGACCCTTGCTCACTCTACGTAATCATCATGGATAGGAAGCCGCGAAGGACAACAGCGCGGTTTGGCAGCGCTGGCAAGCAGAACACGACTTGACCCTCAAGATTGACTCTGAAGGCGCAGTCAATGGCTCTTCCAGCAGCGCCCCCGGTTCAGGCAGACGCGCCACTCGACGTGTCGTCTCGAGTCGCATACAAGACTTAGCCATACCTGGCGCGGCGCGAGCGCACGCCAAGATGCTTGCCAGCTCGCTGCGACACAAGGGCAAAGCTCGAGCGGTGGACGACGAGGAGCAGGCGCGTGCAGAGAGAAGAGAAAAAAAGCAAAGAGTGTCGGCGCGAAGGTCACGCGATGATGAGCCGAGCGCCTCTGCTTCCGCCTCGGCAACACCAGGCGCTTCCACTTCCAACCTGACAGAAGCGGCGGCAAGAAGCCATCGAATGAGGGAAAGGTCTCTGATCGAGGGCATGCCTTCTCCCTCGCCCATCGAATCGACTTGGCGCCCAAAGAACCAAAACAGCCGACCTGCTCCCCTACCTATCGACCCGTGGAACCCACCAACTCTACTGCCGCCATCCCTTCGAGCTCCGCCTCCTAGAAGAGGAAGAGGGGCGCACAGGTACCCCGCCTCGGCCTACACGCATCACGATCAGGTGCCCCGCGCTTCGCGTTTTGCGGGCAATGTGGATGCGCTGTGGTCGAGCTTCAACTTGGCGGGAACGGCTTCGGAGCACTGGGAAGAGGTCAGTGTGGAGAAGCGCGAGGTTGTGGAAGCTTGTGCGCTGGAGACGTGGATCAAGATGGATAAGCTGAGAAGCGAGGGAAGGCTACCCGAACAAAGGGCCAGTGCGGCCTCGCTTAGACCGCCCAAGGAACCTGATCGATCAGACGACGCTTGGTCTAGAATCGTCGGTAATGTGCCCACTGTGGCGGCAAAGTGGAGAGCGGAGACGAGGGGAAGGATGCAGCTTGCGCGTAGGGTGGCCAGACTTGTGCAGGCTTATTGGGACGAAAAGTTGGGCACGGGAGAGAGGCAGGTCAAGGCGGAAGAGAGGAGGATCAAGATGCTGGCCAAGTGGACGTCGAGGGAGGTGGGCAGACAGTGGAAGTTGGCCCAGTCGGTAGTGCGGGCTAGAAGGGACAAGGAGGCAAAGGAGGAGAGGGACAGATTGGGCAGACGTCAATTGAAGCACATCTTGGAGGAAAGCGCTCAGAGGTTGAGGAGGCAGCAATCCGCCTTGGACCTTCAGGCTGCTCAGTCGGATCTTGATGGCAGCGAAGGGGAGAACAGCAACGCTTCATTGGAGGAGGAGGAGGAGGAATCGCTGGAGTCGGACGATTATGGAACGATGAGCGATGTGAGCGCTGCATCTCTTGGTCAAGATGCGTCGGGCAGCGATAGCGAAGAGTCGGAGCTGGAGGCTCAGGAAGACGAAGAAGAAGAGGCAGATTCGGACACGTCTTCACACGATGGGCGAAGCAGCGCGTCGACGGCATTGCGAGATAGCACCGAGCAGTCTACGCTAGAGACGGGAAGCCCACGCGCTTCGCGCTTGCTCCTCCTTGACGACGACGGCATCGACTCGAGTGAAAGAATGTCCAGCTCCAAGGTGAACGGTGTCAATGGACGACACGCAGCGACGGCGCGTCATGAAGATGACCAGAGCGCTGCTTCGACTAGCAAAGTCGCTCCGCGCCGTCCTTTTGGCGAGCCGATGCCAAAGGCGTCGCCAAGCCAGAGCTCTGAATCGGATGCGGTCGAAGACGCTAGCGATGCGGACCGACCTCAAGACTTTCACTCCTACGACGACCACGTTCAGACGGAGGATGCGGAATTGGAGGCTGCCATGTGGGCTCAGGACGAGAGCGACTCGGAGGAAGACGATGGGCTGGCGGCGGACGCCGACATGCCGCTCGAGGAGCTCTTGAAAAGGTACAAGTCGGATGGTGTCGGAACGGTGCAGAAGGCTCCACCTCTGATCGAAGAGATTGGCTCTGCTGATGACGATAGCGACACTGGCTCCGTCTGCCGATCTTCTAGCCCGCCCGGCGAAAGCGACAGCAAAAGTCCTGCCGAAGCGGGCAGCGAGACGAACGGTAGTGTCATATCGCCCGCACCTCGCTCTCGCTCGCCCACTGGCGCTTCTTCCGCTGCTCCTTCCACCCTCAGCGGACCGAATCCCAGCGCTTACAGGATCAAGCCTCCTTTTCTTTTGCGCGGCAATCTTCGACCTTATCAGCAGATTGGCTTTGAATGGCTCGCTAGCCTCTATGCCAACAACGCAAACGGTATTCTTGCCGATGAAATGGTGCGTTCGTGGTGGTGCGAGCGATGCTGGGACGATTTCTACGCTTGCTGACGCGCGAAACATCCTCTCACGTCAACGTCAGGGACTGGGCAAGACGATCCAGACGATTTCCCTTCTGGCTCACCTGGCTTGCGACAAGGGCGTTTGGGGCCCGCATCTCGTCGTGGCACCTACCAGCGTCATGCTCAATTGGGAAGTCGAGTTCAAAAAGTTCTTGCCCGGCTTCAAGATCCTCTCCTACTATGGAAATCAAAAGGAGCGCAAAGAGAAGCGAAAAGGGTGGAACACTGTGGACAGCTTCAATGTCTGCATCACTAGCTACCAGCTCGTCCTAGCGGATCAGCACATCTTTAGGCGCAAGCCTTGGGTCTACCTCGTTCTTGACGAAGCTCACCACATCAAAAACTTTCGTTCCCAGCGGTGGCAGACCCTGCTCGGCTTCAACACACAGAGACGCCTGCTGCTGACGGGCACGCCGCTACAAAATAATCTCATGGACTTGTGGAGCTTAATGTACTTTCTCATGCCGCCGGGGATGGCGGAGAGTATGGCCGCGAGCGGCAACGGCGATGTGGACGGACAGGGTGGTGGCACGGCGGCAGCCGGAGCTGCGTTTGCAAGCATGAAAGATTTTCAAGCTTGGTTCTCCAACCCGCTCGACAAGGCCGTAGAGAGCGGAGAGCGCATGAACGAAGAGATGAGGGAGATGGTGCAGAAGTTGCATACCCTCCTGAGACCTTATCTGCTGCGCCGACTCAAAAAGGACGTGGAAAAGGAACTGCCTAGCAAGGTCGAGCACGTCGTCTATTGTCGATTGTCAAAAAGGCAGCGCTTCTTGTACAACGACTTCATGTCTAGGACAAAGACGAGGGAGAGCCTGGCCAGTGGCAATTACCTCAGCGTCATCAACGTCCTCATGCAACTAAGAAAAGTGTGCAATCATCCCGACCTGTTCGAGGAACGACCTATCGTCACTAGCTTTGCAATGCATCGATCCGCAGTGGCCGACTACGAAATCAAAGAGATGCTCGTTCGTCGCGAGCTCTTGCAAGGAGGTCAAGACGAAGCGATAAGTCTGCAAGCACTCGGCCTAAACTTGACCAGCAACGAGCACCTGTCGCCAATATACACCCGCGATCTCGCACGATTGGACGCTTCTGGAAAGCTGCCATTCGTGGGCCAGGCTGTGCCCGACAAGGAGCCGCTGGACACGTACACCGTCGAAGGACTGCGACGCGGCCTGCAGCAGCATGCCCATGCGGAGGAAATGCTGAAATCTCAGCACAATAGCTACATCAATGCTTTTCGCTGCTCCAGGAAGCCCTACTACGGCGAGGGATTGATGCGGATTGCAGGACTGCTCGGCAACCAGCAGCGCTTCTTGCCGTTTGATCTCGCGGCGCAGGAGACTCGCAGATATCTTTCTCGTTGCGATGCAGCTCACCGGCTCTTTGTGCCGCTCGAAACGAGACGAGGGGCGTTGCAAGACTACATTGATCGCTTCGCCTTTGTCACGCCACGGGCTGTAGCGACGGATATGCCTCGCTGGGCTCTGCCAGGCCTATCTTATGACAAGTGCCCTCCCGAGCTCTTATCATCCAGCTTCGACACGCTTCACGAGCCGGCGGTCAAGCTCAACATTGCCTTTCCCGATGCGTCATTGCTGCAGTATGACTGCGGAAAGCTTCAACAGTTGGACGTCTTGATGCGCAAGTTCAAAGCTGCTGGCGAACGCGTCTTGATCTTTACGCAAATGACGCGCGTGCTGGACATTCTCGAAACGTTTCTCAATTGGCGGGGCTATCGATACTTTCGTCTGGATGGGGCAACAAAGATCGAACAGCGCCAGGTGCTGACGGAGAGGTTCAACAGGGATCCACGCATCTCTGCTTTCATCCTGTCGACGCGCACAGGAGGTCTTGGCTTGAATCTCACCGGTGCATCCAACGTTTGCTTCTTCGACTTGGATTGGAGCAACGCCAGCATGAGCCAGGCGATCGACAGAGCTCATAGGATCGGACAGCAACGCGACGTGCACATCTATTCGCTCGTGTCCGAGCACACCGTCGAGGAGAATATGCTGAGAAGAGTACGACAAAAGCGTCAATTGGACGACCTGGTTGTCCAGGAAGGCGACTTCACCACGGACCACCTTGCTCGCATTCAGTGGAGAGATTTGTTGGACGATGGAGGTACTACGCTGGCTGGTGTGCAGGTTGGAGCTGCTGTTGCAGAGGAAGGAGAGGGGCAAACGCGAATATCCGTTGAGGCCCAAGGCGGAAAGGACGACGAGAGGGCTTTGTTGGCTGTAGAGGACGAGGAAGATGCGAGAGCTGCCCGGGCAACCAGATACGAGATGAACCTCTCGATCGACTTTGCAGAAGAAGAAGCTCCGTCCGCACGTCGTGATGGTGTGGAGGGCGCATCCTCTGCCACTGCTACTAGACTAGGCGATGAGCCTCGGCATGCGGATGATCAAGCAGACGAAGAGTTGGAAGGAACCGTAGACGATTACATGCTCAAATGGGTCCAGCAAGACTGGGAATACTTTTCTGCAGTCAAGTTTTTGTAAAGAGTAGGCCGACTGTGCAACAATGATACATTTTCGTAGTCACCGTCTTTGAGGTTGTGTCGGTCTGATGATGGAGTGTTTGTCAAGGTGGAGAGGGGCCTGCGAATTGGAGACAGCGACAGTGGTACGGAATGTTCATGTAATTTGTTCGCAGGACCTGCGCCCCCTGGTCAAGCCGACGTGCTTGTCTTCGAACGCAGAGCTGAGCGAACATGATGAGCTCGTAATACCCACATCAGCCTTCAACTAGCTTAGCGGACGTCACCTCCTGCTCAACCACTTGAGCTGATGGGCGACGCAATGAATTTCGTGCGTGCCTACCAGGCTGGGCCGCGGCCCACGTGAAGCTCCCTGAATTGTTCTCCAGCATTCTGTCATTTCATATCACTTCGTCAGCTTGTGGGTCCATCACCCACTTGACGCGCTCTAGCCGATTCTTCCTCTTCGCTGTCCGCCTCCTTCTCCTTTCTCCTTCATCGGGGTTCCTCACCAACGCTGCTGCGCAGCGCGCGTGTGCCTGTAGTGATTTTGACTTTCGTCTTTGCCGGCTTTAGCCAACCCTTCTCCCCGTCTTGCAACCCCCCTTTGATCACTCAGCGAGACTCTCCATGTGCACCGCACTCGCCTCGCGATGATCTCGTCCGCAACCTTATCTGGGCCGCACCTCTGAGCAAGATTCCACTTCCACTCCCACATCGAGAAAGTCAATGATCGGCGCACCTCAATGATGAAAGGCCCAAAAGCATAGCGTAGGTAGCGTTGAAGGAGCTTGAATGCGATTCCGTCGAGTACCAAGAGAGCCATCATCGCTTTGACTCGTTGGAGCGGTTCAGCAGTTCTCCGAAAAAGAGGCAGGACCTGGATGATAGCCGTTGCGAATCGTCTCACTGCGCTGACGCCACTCCGAAAGGCTATGGAGGCCCTGAGTTGCAACCTCGTCTCGTCTGTATTATTCGTGATTATTGAGACTCACTCGCAGGGCAAGTTTGCATGAGTTTCCTGCAGCGTTGTGACCTCAGGGCAACCACCACCCGAGCTGCAGCCTTGCCTTCTCTTAGAATCCAAGATTCACCGCCAACTCGGCGGGCGGGCGAATTGCCTTGCATGCCGGGGTTGATGTGGATGCGCTCGACATTCACAAATCGCTGGATGAACGTCAGCACGTCGTCTGCTCCCGATTGTGCCTTGGGCGCGTTACTCGTTCCATACCTTGGCCTTTCTTGCTTCGTCCCATCCACATCGTCGATGATGCGTCGCCACACTAACGAACTCGCAATCACGAAGTGCATGAGATGAATCGAGCGTGGAGACTGCGCTCAGCGAACGTATTCACGTGATTCAAATTGAAGCGTGACTAGCTAGGTCTGCACACTTGCTCATGTGACGTTGTTTCGAGCGTCCATAAGATCAATGATCGCTTCCACGCTTTCCCGGCAAGTGTACCGAATGAATGTCGAGTCGGCGCAGCAGATCAGGGCCAACTTATCCTATGGCTGCACGCGCTGTGATTCCACAAGCGATGTGAGCCTCTCAAATGATATGGTCGCCCTCCCAGCCTGGAGTCGCATTCGCCTCGAGTCGGCTTTCGTTGAGCTAGAGTTTGGACAGAAGACGATGAAGCATGAATCATTCCGGAGGAAGACGAGCGCTATTGAGATCGTCATCACCGTTCTGCGGCCAACTTCCAGCTATCCGGCAATTCACGTTTAGCTATGCTAGATAACTTCGACGCTGGCATTGCTGCATGTGAGGTACGATGCCGACTGTTGCGATGATGCTAGGATGAGGATTGTTACCTCTCATTAGACATCACCGCTTCATAGCAATCCATCGATTAGACTAGCATGACGTCATGCCCGCTGGTCGATTACACGCCCAGCTTCACGACTTTGAGATTCAAAGAATCACGAGTCTCGTATCACGATCGGGTGATAATGTCATCTGGGCCTTGGGTAGGCAGGGCGCCTACTTTCTGCACTACGTAGATAATTCTCGCCCGTCGGAGAATTAGTCACGTGGACGGTCGGAGGCTAGGAGAATTTGTCAGCGGGCGTGGGAACCGCGCAGGCATACGGGCGTGAAGCACGGCGCGCGCATGGGGCCCCAAACATCCTCCGTTACAATGCGCCGCCCCGCCGCATCAACAGATGATCGCTTCCCACTGTATTCGCCTGACGATCGACATACCTGAGTCAGTTTTATCGGTGATGGGAGGGCACTGATGACGAAATGCGATTGAACGACCGTGAGCCGAAGGAAGTATCCAATGGCGTATTTGCTGAGACGTTCCCAGTCGCCCCTGTGCAACGATTGTCTTCGCGTCGTCTGGTGCAAACGCCGCCTGGCCCAGATGCGTGCCTCCTGTGGCAAAGATACACAGCCTGACGTCAGCAGGGCCAGCCTAATCAGCTCTGATCTCTCCCGACGAGAGGGCGCGACGTGCGGCAGGTACCGAGCCGTCCTCACCTCCACCTCGTGCCGTGAAGCCGTTCACCGAATAGCCGCACATTCGCCACCGAAACTAGATGCGTATATATGTCACTCACGACTCTTGCGTCTAGAGCCGATCGCGCCACAGTCGGGGTCGAGAAGATTCGACCCACCACGCACGCGTTAGGGCGCAGCAAAGAATTTGCGCGTCTGCACCGCTGCATCCTCGGGCTTGCGGCCTCCGTCCGTGACTGTCTGAGTCTGGCTAGGCGTCCTGCCGCAAGTTCGGAGCTTTGCCTTGAAGGGTAGTTTGTCGCGCTAAGAGTTGATACTTCACCACAACAGCCAGGACAGGTCGACTGCATGCCCAAGAGCATCATGAATTGCGCTTTAGATCGGGCTGCGTAATACCCATCTTGTTCACCAAAGAAAGCACAGCGCAAATTAGAGCAGTGATGAAGCAAGTTGAGCGTGGCAAAGGCAGAAGCCGATGCCGTGCGAAGCTTGCGTCGTCATCGGCAATGATCGGCGTACGTGCTGGATGTGGTCATCATCATTTCAATGAGCCTCTCTCTTCATCTTCAGCACCTCCGGTTCGCCCGTCGAGAGCTGGGTGTGGGAATAGTCTGGTTGGATTGGTGTTGATTGGATGTCGACTTATGCGACGTCATCGGAGGTGATGACGTCGCATGTTCTCTTGAACGACCATTGTTGAGATAGCTTTGGTGTTGAGCTCGCTTGCTTTCAGGCTGTAGCTCCGCTGGGGTGACGACGACGATGAAGGGATTGAGCAGCGTCTCGACGCGGGTCTCCTTCCGCAAGACTGCCTGCAGCTCGTGAGGGCTAGCAGTCAGCATTGCTGATGCACATTGTGGA